AGGGGATGACTTGAGGTTACCGAGGTAGCTAAACAACTCCTCAGTGGCAGAGCTTCTTGTCGTGGAACTCTGTTAATTATGCTAACAGTCCCTCCAAGAAATCTGTGCTAGAGACTTAGTAAGGGAAATGCTAGAATTTTATTTGTGTTCCTTAACACTAATTAGCAGGTATCTGTCCCTGTGCAGCACACTCATAGAGAACATGGATGCACCTCGTTAATGTGCAACTTCCCAGAATAAGTTACTAATTTAGCTGCCACCTTATTTTACAAATATCAACATTTCTGGCTACAAAAAAAACCAAGATGACGATGTTTTTATTTGTAAAATTTCGGTTTCAGAACAGCACATACGATGGCTGTCACTCTGACTTCAATCAACAATGAGTTATGGGGCTTTAACACAGGATGTACAGTGGGGCAAAAAAGTATTTAGTCAGCCACCGATTGTGCAAGTTCCCCCACCTAAAATGATGACAGAGGTCAGTAATTTGCACCAGAGGTACACTTCAACTGTGAGAGACAGAATGTGAAAAAAAAATCCATGAATCCACATGGTAGGATTTGTAAAGAATTTATTGGTAAATCAGGGTGGAAAATAAGTATTTGGTCAATAACAAAAATACAACTCAATACTTTGTAACATAACCTTTGTTGGCAATAACAGAGGTCAAACGTTTACTATAGGTCTTTACCAGGTTTGCACACACAGTAGCTGGTATTTTGGCCCATTCCTCCATGCAGATCTTCTCGAGAGCAGTGATGTTTTGGGGCTGTCGCCGAGCAACACGGACTTTCAACTCCCGCCACAGATTTTCTATGGGGTTGAGGTCTGGAGACTGGCTAGGCCACTCCAGGACTTTCAAATGCTTCTTACGGAGCCACTCCTTTGTTGCCCGGGCGGTGTGTTTTGGATCATTGTCATGTTGGAAGACCCAGCCTCGTTTCATCTTCAAAGTTCTCACTGATGGAAGGAGGTTTTGGCTCAAAATCTCACGATACATGGCCCCATTCATTCTGTCCTTAACACGGATCAGTCGTCCTGTCCCCTTGGCAGAAAAACAGCCCCATAGCATGATGTTTCCACCCCCATGCTTCACAGTAGGTATGGTGTTCTTGGGATGCAACTCAGTATTCTTCTTCCTCCAAACACGACGAGTTGAGTTTATACCAAAAAGTTCTACTTTGGTTTCATCTGACCACATGACATTCTCCCAATCCTCTGCTGTATCATCCATGTGCTCTCTGGCAAACTTCAGACGGGCCTGGACATGCACTGCCTTCAGCAGCGGAACACGTCTGGCACTGCGGGATTTGATTCCCTGCCGTTGTAGTGTGTTACTGATGGTGACCTTTGTTACTTTGGTCCCAGCTCTCTGCAGGTCATTCACCAGGTCCCCCCGTGTGGTTCTGGGATCTTTGCTCACCGTTCTCATGATCATTTTGACCCCACGGGATGAGATCTTGCGTGGAGCCCCAGATCGAGGGAGATTATCAGTGGTCTTGTATGTCTTCCATTTTCTGATGATTGCTCCCACAGTTGATTTTTTCACACCAAGCTGCTTGCCTATTGTAGATTCACTCTTCCCAGTCTGGTGCAGGTCTACAATACTTTTCCTGGTGTCCTTCGAAAGCTCTTTGGTCTTGGCCATGGCGGAGTTTGGAGTCTGACTGTTTGAGGCTGTGGACAGGTGTCTTTTATACAGATGATGAGTTCAAACAGGTGCCATTCATACAGGTAACGAGTGGGGGACAGAAAAGCTTCTTACAGAAGACGTTACAGGTCTGTGAGAGCCAGAGATTTTCCTTGTTTGAGGTGACCAAATACTTATTTTCCACCCTGATTTACGAATAAATTCTTTACAAATCCTACCATGTGAATTCATGGATTTTTTTTTCACATTCTGTCTCTCACAGTTGAAGTGTACCTCTGGTGCAAATTACTGACGTCTGTCATCATTTTAAGTGGGGGAACTTGCACAGTCGGTGGCTGACTAAATACTTTTTTGCCCCACTGTAGCACTTTAACGCTTGCTGCTGGGTCCAGCACACAGTTCAGTCCCAGATTACCCCAGAGCAGAAGGTGGAGGTGAAGCATAGCTGCAGTTTCCAAAACTTTCAGTGGGTATCTGTGTTTTCTATGCATTGCTCTTTACCTCAAGAGTTTTAAAAGATTCATAAAGCTATTAGCACACAAGAAATCTAAGGTGCACTTAAACAGGGCGCCAATTTACAATAAGCTATGTAACTGTCAAAAACAGAGTTATTATAGTTTTTTTAGGTTTTGTTTTTATTTGCTTTTAAATTTCATTTTCAGTTTAGTTTAATTTTAGTTTCAAGTGTGGGTACGCTCACTTCAGTTTCCCAAATATAATTCTGTTCATGTGGATGAAGCGTTTTCAGTGGGAGAAACGTCTCATTTAAGTGACTTCTTCAGTTTTTTGGGATTTCCTTATCTGGATGATTGAGTTTTTGTTTGTGAATTTGATAACTGGAGTTTGAAATTGATACCGTGGGTGTTTCTCCCCTAAATCTCTGATGCATTTGAATCTGTTCCCTTCATCACGCGGGGTCACCACAGCGGGCAGCTCCACTTTTGATTTGGTGAATTTTTACACTGACACATCCCCAAAAGGAATTTTTGTCTCCTCCAAGGATGTTTTGCTTGTTAGGCAAATATGTAATCACTACAATATAATTTATTTACTTTAGGCACAAGATATAAACCTTTCCTGCATTTTACCATCCTGCCTGCTGACCAGCTGAATGGATCCTTTCTGTTGCCTGCACAGGCAGTCACTGCAGTACACAGCGGTCAACATTCACATTTGTTGACCCTTTGAACGTTGACCACTGTGTCCGCAAGAGCTCCCTAGTTGTGCGCATCACAGCGCTTGCACTGTGCAGCAGCAGACCATTGTACCCCCACACAAGGGTTTCAGCATGAAGTGCATCCCGTGTTCGATGTAAAAGCACCTTGACTAGTCCAAACCACATTCATGCAAGGCTTTCATTAATTACACGTGTTACCACAGTGAAACAGAAACAGAGTGAAGCCTCATGCTCAGCTCTGCATAATATGTACTTGATGCTAAGGTTACACATATCTGAGATCTATATGGATGTCATATATATATATATATATATATATATATATATAATGACTAAGTATAATTACGCACACCCCACTTTTCAGTTATTTATTTGTAAGACACTGTATCTGTTTACCAGGCTTTACAGTTGTGTTTCTTTTGTTATTCCTAAACCAGACAAGAACATTTGTCTTAAATAAGTTTATGAAAGACAGAATTCAGAATCTAATAAGCTTCAGATGTGAAAAGGATTATCGGGTGGGGTGGGGGGCCGGGGGGAGTACTGTAGGCAGCAATTTTTCTTTCTTCTAGAAAGGAAAAAATATTTGGATGATGTAGCTGTTGTTGCTGATGATGATTGCTTGTCCTTTTACATCCAGCTGGTTATCAGAAGGTGAAAAAAGTAAAAACACCTGTGTAGGTTGACCGTGGTAGTTTGTGCTTTTATATATTTAGAACTAAATCAATACGGTGTTGTACATTTATTGGGTCTGCAATATATTGGTAATTGAGACTGGCAACAGTTACAATAAATCTTATTACACCAGTCAGAAACATGACACACATACCGCAAATTCTCAATTATTGATCTCATGTTTTAAACCACAGTCTTTAGTGGATTGCTGCATTTGTGTCCTGTTTTATTACTGCTGCACATCTATTTCTTGTGTTTACAGTATTTAAGGTATGCTCATCGTTTCTCTGAACGGGGGCACCTTTGTTGAAAAAATTGTTTACATTTTCATTTAGCTTCTCCAGGCAGCAGGAATGATATCGTGAGGTTTTAAACACTGGAGATGCTCCAGAAACTGACCCGCCTTATGCTGAAGGGCCCAGCTTTAAGGACGGGAGAGCCACTGAACAGAAGCTCAGATTAACAATAATCCCTTGTTCAACTTGTTGAGAACTTGCTCAAATCTCTCGTCTATCACTCCCATTCCTGTTTTATTTTGCCGGGTGTGCCAGACTGCTCCACTTAGTGTAGACACGCAAGATACCTCTGCCTCAGCCTCAGCCTTCTAAATAACTGTCGGTCCATTCGCTTTAAAATGTGGAAGAATTCAGCTTTTGTAAATGTATAAGGAATGTGTTCAGCTTTGACAGTTCAGCTTATGGATTCTTCACAGAAAAGTGAAACGAGCTGGTCTCTCAAATCAATAACTGGCAGATGTAACTCTGCACTGAAAAGAGTTTCAAGTGCTGCTCCAATAACTGCAACAAAATGAGAGGCGACGTAATATGTTTTTCAGAGTTATTGTCGTTTCTTTGTTTGTTTGGAAATGTTCTTGTATACATCAACAGACTCAGGGACGGGTCACACAGGAGAGTGAACAAACATCACGGGGAAGCTGGCATTTGAAAGAGGCCTAATCACAACTAAACTAAATGCCTGAAACTATGAAATGAAATATCAGACGTGTGTGTGTGTGTGAGGGGGGGGGGGAGCCTCTATATAGTTCTGCATCAGTTACTTTTCAATTACAGCAGCCCAAGCAGAACGAAATTGTTAGTGTCATTTATCGACTGTGGTGCCCTCCATTAGAGTACCAACTGAGAGAAATCCATCCTGTTGTATAACCACCTGGCTGTCTTACAATAACAAAGAGTTCATTTCTGTCAGCTGGCCTTAAGTGTTTTGGGTGTTATACAAGGAACAGATGAGAAGTATACACCAGGAAACGCAGGAAAGCACACAGAGACCAATAAAGTCTAACCAAGCAGGTAATCATCTTGATGGCTTTTCTGAAACAGTTAGAAGACAGAGTGAAATACCAGAGGTGCCTAAATGAATGAGATGACAAATCATAAAAAGTTACAAATATTTTAAATATAAATATTTATTTGAGCAATTTTAAAATTAATAAAAAAATAATTGTTGCTTTTGAATACCTTCGCACCCGAGCACTTTCTAACAGCACAGTTAAAATCATGTCTATTACTTATGCCTTGATGATCTACCCTGGTGATGTGGACCAGGCAAGAGTAGCCGAGCGCAGACAACATCCCCAACCCCCCTATGTGTATATTTTTTTAATACTTTGTGAGGAAAAACTGTCAACCATATCCAAAGTGCAGGACCAAAGAGAAGTAAATAATGTATGCTTTTATTAGATTCTTTGAAGACGATATGTGCTACGCGTTACCCGTTTCAAATGTGGAAGATTTCAGACCTCTGCACAAAACAGATTTTGATAATCAGAAGGTGTATCTGGTTCACAGAACTGAAGAGAATGGCAGCGCAGGCCAGCCGTGCGAAGCACAGATCCTTGCCCTTGCAGGTAAGTTGTCCTCCTAACGCAGGAGATTTTGTCTTTTTTAACGCTTCTTTTCGCCGTCTGACCAAGTAACGCTGATGTGCGCGAAACTCAGGAATGTGTCAAACCAAGTGTTTTCTTTTTCCTTTTTTTGACCCGATCTGTCAGGACGTGATCAGCTGGAATCTGACACCGATAGCAACAACAACGTCCTCGGCTGTGGCTAGCTAGATATGCTAGTTAGATATGCTAAGATAAGTTTGGTATGTAGTCATACCTTGTTGTCGGTGTTTTATATGTTCTTTACACTTACTGCGCCGTGTCTCTTAAGTTACCCCTCTTGTTTGGGTTGGGTAGTATTGGTTGTGTCGCTAAATACGTGGCATGTAACGTTAGCGACTCACAACGGTTGTTTACAACATGAAGCTAACGCTTGCTAGCTTGCTTGGTTTGTATTCGTTCCGTGTTAGCATGCTACTGCCGACGTACAGACGCAAGGCTGTCACCGTATTATAAACATATTTGACAGCCGGTGACTGATCTGTCATTATTTTTGAGGCTCTCAAATGTAGTTGAGATGCCAATCCGGCGGCTTTGGTGGGCTGCAGTCTGCATGTTAGCTTTCTTATCGGCAGATTCGTGCCACAGAGGGGTTGCGGTGCTGCAGTCGTTGCAGACTACATACAGCAACCTGTCAGTAACATGTCAGCATCGCAGCCGTTTCATGTAGGTTTATCGTGCAAATGTGATGAAGTGTGCAGGTGAAATGCTTTTGCTCGTGTTTATTTGGAGTTGTAGAAATGTTTGTTCACGGTCGTTTTCTATGCACGATCTTTAGCTACATCACTAATCCCCGAGTCTGATCTGTCTGAGCTGGGAGATCTGTACAATGTCGCCAGCCCAGGACCATTTGTACCGCAGTCCTCTGACATGCTTACATTCCTACCTCATTTAATGCTAAAGTCGCCTTGATGAGGCAGAATGGAGAGGCTAACCAATACAGATGAGAGCACTTCCGTAGATACTTTGAAAAGCATACTTTGAAAATTCATGCAACTTTTTAGGGACTTTTACGAGTTTATTCTTGCTTCTATTTCCGGGGCTCACAGATACAGTAGAAGAATTTGAAGACAGTATAACACAAAAGAAGATGAAAATTCCCAAGATGTCCACGAAGAATTCAGGAAACTCCATCGAGAACAATTTTGGAGAGGAAAGAATGCCACTCAGGCATAAAAAGGTAGGAAGATCAGAGGTACACTGTGGTTGTTGGGCATTGCAGCAAACATATGTGTCTGCTGCAATGCACACATATTGCATCATTTATACCGTCAATCATGTATAAATGATCTAAATCAAAAGGTGTTTAGACTTGTTTATGTTAGTAGTATCATGATAGTCTATCACACTGGGTCCGTGACATGCATTTGAGGGTACTTTACATTAAAACTAATTGCATTAAATGTCATCTTTCAAATAGAAAAATTACTCAAGCTTTGCCTTTTACTGTGTCAGAGAAAACCCAAAAAAGTTAAGTAGTGGAAAAAGGCCACATCAACACTCCAAGTATGGGAGCATGTATAACTTCACATGTAAATTTTTTGCAGCGATGCTCTGATATCTAAATATATCTATCAATGATACGTCACATTTTCATAAACTTGGCTGACACCCCAAATCCCCCACACTATTTTTACCATATGCTGGATTAACACAAATTCAGCACTCTGGACAGCTGCCCTTTCACAGACAAATCCTCTGAGCGGCTCATCAAAGAACTCTGTGACTCCTGTCCTCCCATTTCCTATTGAGATTCGCATGTCAAAACAAACAGTTTGAAGTCTGCCTGTCGTGTCATTTCAGACAGATTTGTGGTTTTACGTAATATTTTTCTTCTGTTTTGAGTGGCGTCAGTCATATATTTAGTCAGAGTCACAGCAAAGAATTTTACACAATACTATCTTGATGCATGCTCAATCGTCTGGGTAAGAAAATCCCAGAAAATAAATTATGTTCTTCTGGATGCAGCGTTTTCAAAGTTGAGACTGAAGAAGTTGATTGGATGATTGATGAAGTGTGTCTCCTAATGGCAACACTATGTCCGGATGAACAGAATCGACTTTGTGGGAATACTTGTACATATGAATAAATATTTTAACAGGCCTAACACCAGAGTTCTCAAAGTCCATGACATATTTTTTTAAATATAGGTCAGATTTTATTTTGCCAACCTATTTCGTCTCTAAATTGAGTTCTTACTCTCCTCAGGCCCTGTCACAGGACCATGGACGCCCCCTTTCTAACTCATCCAAAAGCCTAGCGGCGGTAGTGGCTCGCCTAGAGAGAAATGCAGCCAGCTCTTGTATGGAGGGCGAGGAGGACCTGGATGAGGACCGGCTGGCTGAGGTGGGAGAGGATGCAGATGACGAAGATGATGATATGGAGGCAGAGCATCAGCGACATCATCACCAGCAGCAACAGCAGCATTTGGCGGTGGACACGGATTGTGTGCCTGAGGTGGCTGCCGCTGTTGTTCCCAGAGTTCTGTACGAGGAGCTGGTTCACAGCTATAGGCAGCAGGAGGAGGAGATGAGGAGGCTACAGCAGGAGTTGGAGAGAACCCGCAGACAGTTGGTGCAGCAAGCCAAGAAGCTCAAGGAATATGGCAGCTTGCTGACAGAAGTCAAAGAACTGAGGGACTTCAACAGGAGACTGCAAGACGTACTTCTCATGAGACTGGGCAGCGGTGAGAGACCAGTAGCACCCACACACAAGCCAACAAACCAGTTACCAGTACCACAAAGTTGATTAGTGAACTTTAACCTCGTCAGTTGTTAAAGAAAACGTTTATATTTAAAATGAATACATATATAGTAAGGAAACTGACAAGTGAAGTGTTTCTTATACAGAAACATCTGAACAGCAATAAAGCCACAATTTCAGTGGAAGGAGTTTAGCAGCAAGCGTGAGGATAGATATTAAGTTTAGTGTTCACTTTATGTCCACACAGCACAGTAATTTTACCATCTCTCTCCTGACAAGGTCTGGATGACAAATGCCGACAATAATTTTTTTTTGCAATTATGTGCAAAAAAACAAAAAAAGTGTAAAGATGAATGTCTGTGAAGGTTCTCAGGTTCTCTCATCCGGGAAGCTTCTTCAGTTCAGAACTAAAGAAGCTTCTTGGATGGTGATGATGATGATGGCTGAGTGTCAGTCAGTTAATCTGCTTAAGAACTGATTCTTTTATAAAACGAGAGTCCTACCTACTTTATAGGTGTCTTTAAGTTTGATTTTGGTTACTGTATATGGGTGCCATAAATGTGCACATTCTATTATTGTCGCTGTTGCTGCTAGATAAGCCCTTACAATATTAGAGAAAGAACCAGACGATCCTCTTTGAGCAAGAAATTGGTGAGGGCGGGAAGGAAGAACACCCTTTTAACTGGAAGAGAGCTCTGGTTCAGGGAGGGGCAGCTGTCTATTGCGAACAACTGGATGTGAGGAAAGAGGAAAAGAGAGACGAGGACAAAGCACCGGTGGGAAAACTACGTTTTGATTTCACACAAGGCTTGAACCCCAGTCTGTTGGGTGAGGCTCATGTGACCCATTCATCCAACAGTACCTTGTCCCTCTTTTGCTTCTCCCACCACCCACTAAGTATTTATTATGTCTTTCTCTCACAGTACAAAAGTTCTAAAGTCCAAACAAAGTGATGGTCCTGGACTAATGTTATTTTGATTTAGGAATATTAGACACACAATTATATCAGATAAGCCTAAAGAAAAGCACTAAGCTTACATTTAAATCAGATACAGTTTGTATAACCCAGTGTCCCATACAGATTGATCATAATTACCATAACAGGACTGGTTTCTGCCAGAATCAGGATAAGATAAAAACTGAAGAAACCTTTGGGGAATGATGTATACATGTGGAGAGAGATTATAATCCAAAGGGATTTTAACAGGTCTATTGCTGAAGTGGTAAATCCAGTACTGGAAGTTGAATAAAATGCACTTTGGTTGTGTGATTAAAAGTGGTGTCATTGCAGTGCACAGTGCTGTACATACTCGAGCTCTGCCAGATGCTGGTCTTAACCTCAGACCCCCTGCAGATCTGAACAGAGGCGCCCAGCTACTGGCTAGACCATCTAATGGACAGGCTAAAGATTAAAGCACCCTGGGGTGCTGTCAGGCAGTGGATGGAGTGCGCTGACCGATATTAAAACTCATCAGCTACATTGGAGCTTAGCGTGGCCAGCCACCAAGCCAGCTTAGTTACTGGGCTAAAATAACTGCCTGTCACAAGGCACAGGCAAGCCTGTGCCCAAGGCGCATAGCAAGCAAACAAGCAGGTGGGCACTGCTCCAGCGGTGAAGGCAAAAAACCCCTCACTACTGTAAGAATTCAGGTGCTAGTAGCTGTTTACACCTAGCATTTTTTCCCTCGTTTCCACTGTATTTTAGCATGTTTTAGTTTCGCCAAGTTGCGTTAAGTGAAAACAGAGGTTTGTCGTTGCTTTTATCTCCATAATTGTTAACGTCTCCTTTATCTCCTAGAGCCTATGCATGACAATGGCACCCAGACAATCAAGGCTGAAGTGGTTGAACCTATTGTTGAGGCCCAGGAGACGTGCAGAGAAGAAGCCAACACCAGTTCCAGCTACTCACCCTCACCTAGAACAGTATACACCTGCAACGACGGCAAGGTACGTTTCTCCGAGCTAAGAATTGCTGCGTATTTAATTGCATTTCCAGTTTTCCATTTTCGCTCCAACTAGTACACGAAGAAAACTTTTATTATTAATTTGTGTAATTTCTTGTCTGTGCTGTTTCATGGCTGCATAAATCTGTCTTTAAAGCAAAGTGAAAACAAGAGGATCTTGTGCACGAAAATTCAAACTGATGTCATAAAAGTGATTGCAAGGCTGTTAGCATAGTCCAGTTAATTTCATATTTTCTAATGTAGGAAAAAGAATTGTTCTTGAAGTTCACTCAGTAGTCAACAGGCCTGTTTTTTCAATTATGTTTGCACATATTTAAGTGAACTTCTAATTTATAGTGTAGAGTAGAAAGGGCGCTAAAACTCTGACTATGATGGTATCTTAATAACCAATTTTGAGAGCTTCGACTCATTTGGTCCCCTTTCATTTTTCCTTGTGGGTGGCTGTGAACAGTATCCTGATTTTACAGGAAGTGCTGCGTTTCCTCTTAACACCCGTGAATCTGGGAACATGCTGTCATTGTTGATCAGTCCTTTCCCCTAGCTGCCTTACCCTTGCAGGTAAACAAGGTTGAGAAGATTATTATTGTTCCTGCAAGCGCAGCCAGCATCGTCGGTGTTTATTAGCCTGTTAGGGTTCTTTACTGCCCCCACTGCTGTAACTCAACCAGCGTCCTGTCGCTGATGACAGGGGGGGAATTGGTAGTACAAGCTCTGGGGCCTGCAGCCACTTCAAGCGTGAAGAACACTTGCAAATTAGAACTGTCCTACATGAGGGACCCCATATTAATTATTTGCACGAGAGGAATTTAAAGTGACTGACAGGTTAACCCTACTGAGAGTGCGCTGGAAAGGGTGGGGAGGGGTCGTGGAAAAAGAAGAAAAAGAAGAGGCTTTTTCTACCTCGAGGGCAGTAAAAAGCTTGTCTGCTGGCCGGGGGCCTAAAGCACATTAGCTGCACAGGGAAAAGCCTTTTGGATGCTAGCCTAAAGACTTTACGGTGATAAGAGAGTAGGGAAGGGAACGAGAGTCACATATGCAGCCCCTCCGGTACAGTAGCTCACCTAGAAGACCAGGGCAGTCTGCCATGGCTGGCAATCAGCTTGAAGTGTTTGGTCCAGGCTTACGCAATGTACAGTGACTGTGTAAAGAGCCACAGCCTAAGTTTGTAATGAAGGTAATCCGTGCTACAAGAAGATAGTGACCAGAGCTTGTTTACGTATCCTAGAGGGTGAAAGTGACCCTTCTTGGAAAGTTTGATTTAGTCTAAGCGGGAGGTGAAAGCTGAATGTGTCCTGCTATAATTAGCATGTACTCTGTTTGTCTTCACACTACCAGAATTTTACTAGTCTGTACAAAATCGCTGAGATTACACCACAAGACACAAGAAAAAGTAAAGCACCATCAAGCTGCAAACACACACACACACATCTTCTTCATTATATTTTGAAAATATTTTGGGGAAATGATTAAGGAAAAGCTTACGTTTTAAAAGTAAGCAGTCATTTAAAATCAGTGAAAGGTTGAGGAAAGCTGTTCCAAAGTTTTTGGACTACAAACTCAAAACAGCAGTCCCCTCTGGATTTAAAATAAGAGCACAGAACAGTTAGGAGACCCTGATCAGATGATCGCAGAGGCCTACTGCTGTCAGTAGCTCAGATATATATGCAGAAGCTTTGCCACGTCGGACTTTATATCATATTAAATTTAAAAAAGGGGTGATGTGTAAGGGCCTGCTAATTTTTGTAAGCAGCCTAGCTACTGCATTTGGGATCAGTTGAAAACAGGCTGAGGAGGATGTATGTTTGTACTAAAAGTTCCAAATCATTGGATGGCAGTAAAGGTTTGATTTTTCTAATGTTTCTTGGATGGAAGAAACACGAGTAGATGAGCTCTGAGATGTGAGGTTTCAAACGCTGGTAAAAATAATAGCAGGTCTTTAGCAGAGGGTTTGATATTGCCGGCGAGCGGCCCGATGTAATGACTGACCTCCTTAGAGAAGTTTTCAGGGCTGAATACAAGAGCCTGATGTCATGATGTTGCCTAGCAACCACCTACCAACGGTCTAAAATAACTAATTTGTAGCATTTATTCACCTATATCACATTATAAAAGCATTGTGTGATTTTTGACTTCATGACAATAGCTTATCATCATATTATATCCACTGTCCACTAATATTATGCATGATATATTATTACATCATGTTGCTTAGCAATCAACCTACCAGTGGGCTAAAAGGACCCATTTATAGCATTTATGCACCTAAAATACATTAGGGACACCTTTCATTTCACAACAATAATATGTAACTTTTATAATTTTATAATAGTTTTACAAATTTCACAGCTATTGGAAATTTGGGTGAGTTCAATTATACATGCAAGTTTGTTATTTTTACAGAAAAAATATTTTTCTGCCCCAAATCATGAAAGACAGATGTTTCTTTTTTTTAAGTTGTCTTCATGCTTTCCCGTTTGTCTTGTTTTTTCTCTTTTGGTCAAGAGCTATGAACATTTCTGTTCAACCATATCTGACTCAAAATGCAATTGCTGTGTCTTCCAAATTCGACCTGTAAAGAGTCACAGTGTAACTGACGTTTGATCCTCGAAGATCTGGGTTATTCCCACTTTTTTTCCCACAAACAAACAGTTGAATAGATGTGAAGCTGTAATGTTCTTTATCTAAAACACGGATATCTACTTTGTCTTCTGTTGACTAAAAATTAATAAAACTAGTTGAGTGTCACAACAATAAATCCTGACACCGTGCCGGTGACAACATACTGTTTGTTGTATAATGAGCTGTAGATGCAGAAGAAGTAGTTTCCAGTTGTGCTTTTCACAAACCTTTGTTTTACGTCTCTAGGTACACCTTGGTGGTGGGATCTGGGTGGAAGAAGAGAAATGGCACCAGCTGCAGCGGACCCAGGGAGATTCTAAGTTCACAAAGAACCTGGCTGTAATGATCTGGGGCACAGAAACCCTCAAAAACCGCAGTGTCACTGGAGTGGCCACTAAAAAGAAAAAAGATGCCTTGCCTAAACCTCCACTGTCACCCAGCAAGCTGAAGATTGTCAGAGGTAAGACAAACTTTTCCTTTTTCTTTAAAATGTATATTTCAAACGTTTGACAAACCCTTCTTTGGACCAGTTGCAAAAATGTTTTAGTATAGGTAAATTCTTTAGCCTTAAGGCGAGGCCAAAATGAGCGGCTTTTAATTTGATGTGGTCTGATTACTCACACTCGCTCCTTCCCCAGAGTGTCTCTACGACAGAGTGTCTCAAGAGACAGCCGACAGTGCAGAGATAACGCAGAGATTGTCCAAAGTGAACAAATACATTTGTGAAAAGATAATGGACATCAACAAGTCCATCAAGAATGAGGAGCGGCGGGAGTCCAAGCTGCTCATCAGACAGACAGTCAAGATGGAGAACTTCACCTACGATGGCATATAGTGATCAACTGTCACGCCAGCGCCTTCTGCCCCGCGTGGTCTGCAGGATATTGAGGGGACTTGATATGGGTTGTCGGGGGATGCTGTAACCATTTCAGGAGCGGTCGTATTACTTTGGCACATCGGATTGGTTGTTATTTGAAATGTTAAAACAAAGAGGCCCCTTCGCCCGCCCCTCCGTAAAGAACCATCATCACATTTCTGTGAGCCCGCTTTTCTAATTGGCCAACAGACAGCTTTACCCAGTGGTTAGAAACTGAACATGTGAGCTAGCTTGACATAGGCTGGTGTGAGTGTTTTTATAAGCTTTGCAGTGGCATTGGTACAGAGATGCAGATTCTTGAGGTTTGTGCATGTGTGTCAAAAGAGAAATTAGGTGTGATTATTACTTTATTGTTCTGTGTCAGAACATAATTGTTGAGTCCTTGAACTTTTAAAAAGTAAGAGATTATTTCCCTGGGCGAACGAATGATGCTAGTTTGCATTAGAGCTTAGATGCGTGAGAGGTTGACTGTTATGGTGACTACTCAATAACTGCTGGGAGTTGGTGCGGTTGGTACTTACTGCATAGAATGGGACATCAGGGTCTCAAATGCACAAGTCTTAATTAGTAACAGCCATATTTCATTTTGCAGCAGAGATTCTGTTGCTCCTAAAGAGATTAATTATGGGCGTGTGCTCCCACTTAACCGTATAACTTTATTATAAAGACAGCTTACTGAGATTTAATGGGACTCTGTCGAGTCTCTAGAATGCTGTATTTGTTTTTTATGTTTTTTTAATGTTAATCTTTATGAATATTTGCCATCCACGAGGGAGCACAGGAGACGTTTTGATCGGATATCTGTGTGTTACTTTAAGGAAACTTGACTGTTGAGTTGCAGTGGTACAGGCATGTTGAGACCTAGAAAGGCCTTAAATGGATCTGGCAATCACCAGGCACTGATAAGCTCCTGGGTTTTCTAGTATGCTGTGATTGTAAATGTATTGTAAGCTGAAGTCACGACGCTTCATCTGCACTTTGCTGTGAGAATGTACGAGGTGGCCAGGTACTATTTTCTGTGTAGTTCACACCATTAAGTTTGGCTGAGCCGGACCGCTACCCGGATGAAAATCGAGGCACAGCTCTGGTCATCGTCTTGTGGAAGCGGTGTTAGCTACGGGTAAAGCTGTCTGGGATACTATTTTGCTGCTGAAGCTGTCTGGCCCTGCTGAACCCCATAATAACCCCCTCTTGTTTAAGGCACGCCACTGGGGAATTAGAGTAAGGTTGCTCCAGTGACAACTTTCCCTGAGCTATGCCATCAGAACTTTTAAAATTTAGTCTCTTTCTTGTTCTTTCATGTTTTTATTCTCCTCTTCTGTTCTGTGTGTGTGTGTGTATATCTATGTATACACACACACACTTTCTTTTTTCTTTTTGATCCAAAATGGCTTGGGTGGCAATCTGCAGGCTGGAACTAAACGCTGCAGATTGAAATCTCAACTGTGACCTAGCTGTGGCTAACTGTGAATCTACTGCAGAGCTGCTCATCAAGCCTTTCTCCTCCTCACAGTCTAGATTCTCGTTTGTCTGTTGATTTATTTTTCTGTATCATATCGTCCGTCTCGGTTTTTTGTTATTTCAAAAGTTCAGATCAGCCTTTTCTTAAGCTACTTTATTTCAGTGTACATAAGCAACTCTTTATTATTATTATTTTCCACCAAACATTGATATTTCAGTTTGTAGTCTCGTTACAGTTTCAAGCTTCTGGACAAGTTTGGTTTAGCAAATTGATGTTGTAATTCCACGTTACCTATCAATTTCTTGTGTTTCTTTGTACACTTTTTTAAATTTTTTTATATGAATTGTTGGCTTTAAGCTTGACGTTGTAATCGAACTTAGATCAGCTGAGTCTACAAACATATGTTTTAAAAAGAAAAAGAAAAAGTATCCCTCTCTCTTAGCCAAAGCGATCTCTGGAAAATGAGACGAGGCTTTTCTTAACACCCGATTTCAGCCGAGCCCATACGTTATATTTACTATATCTGTTATTTGGCAAACCTCACTTAGGATCTACCTGATGATCACGCCATAGTATGATAAAATTCTGTATTGTTAAACCATTGCGCTCCAACGGTTGAGATGCAGTAGTTAGATCAACACAAATCATTTACATTGAATGCACTTTAAATGGGCAAATTCTTCGATTTTAAAGAAATGTTTTTGTGGTATTTGTCCTTTATTTTTATTTTATTTTTTAATTAAAAAAACAAACAAACATGTCCTCATAGATTAAGGCCTAACAATCATTGTATTATCATGAAGCACCTTAAGACATTTTTTTATGGTTTATTATGGCAAGAATGAGTTTTGGTACATTTTGATTCATTTGTCAGATTTGCCGCTAACATGCTTGATAGACTTTAGGGCTGCCCCACCCCCCACCCCTCCAGGAGTCGGAACATTCTTGGTCGACCTGAAAAGGAAACACTCACTTTACAGGAAGTGTCAGTCACTCATGGAAACTTTTTTTTTCTCTCGCTTTTTTTCACACACAAAATCCAAAGCGTAGGAAGGTGACAGATAAATATTTGTCTGTCAGTCATCAACCTCAAACATTGGTTTTTGTTTCAAATATGCAAGTAGGCGAATGTTGGCCGCTTGGCATGGTCGCCGTCTTTAGACAGTCTGCTTACTGGTGATTGCAGCACAATCAGAATAATTACCTCCTTTGCTGCTGTCTGTAACAGGCAGAACGCTTCGTCCATGAGTTTGTATAATTTTTTTTCTCTGGTATGTAGCATGGTGGTAATGGTGTTACTTACAATGTTCTGTCTCAGCTTTCAAACCACTTTGTCGTGCTTGACAAAACACATTAGAAAATATGTTTTGGATTAATTAGATCACGGTCACAAAAACTGTTCAGCTAGGAAGATCTTTGGTCAGGGGCAGCCCTAATAGATTTAACAGGTTTCTTTAAAAAAAACTGCATTTCAGTAAGTTAAATTATCTCAATAGTTTAATCTGCAACTCCGTCATGGTCTCGAAAAGAAACGGTTTAAAAGAAAAAAACTTAGTTAGAAAATTGATAACTACTACTATCTGCAAAATGTGATTCGCCAGTATAAAAACTGACCAATGAAATGTGCAAGCTGACTGGAATATGCGCTTTAACCTGATGCTGGTAATGTATAAATATGACTCCTATAGAGATAATAGTGTATTTTTTACAAATGAGTGGTAATCGTGAGCCAAAGTATTGAATGCTGAGATCGAGCTAAAGACGGGGTTTAGAATCAGCAGGGTTTGCACAAACAAAACAAATTTTTAAAAAATGGCCCCGGCCACAGTAACCGAGCGTAAAGCGCCACCTTATAACGGCGATGTGTTATTGATATACTGTTTGAGGGGGTTCCCTCGAAATTTCCCTCTGATTTCTCGTTTTGTTTTTCCCTGTACAAAGGTTTATGTGCGCTAGGCTGTGCATTTTAAAAGAAAAGATTTCTGCTGTGCAAAGTACCTTTGCTAAAATTCTAAGACATTGTTGTGTATTGTATTTGTGTTTGTTTCTTTGTTGTTTATGCCAAAATGGGAGGGGTGTGGTTAAAATGATGCTTAAAGAAAGACCATTAATAGAGCTATTACATCATCAAAAATGTTAAGGCCTGTTTCCTGGATGGCCATTAAGCCTAATCCTTTAACTAAAACCACCTTCAAAGGATGAAAGCTGTATGGAAGGACTGTATGTTTTTAACCCAGATTTGGCTTAATCTGTAAAGGCAAGGCCGTTCTTTATCAAATGTACCGAGTCACTTGCAGAAGAGCGGTTTGGGTTTTTAGCAGCATATCAGTAACATACTGTACCGTTTTATTCACAAGCAGAGCCACTAATTTTGGCTTTGCGTCACGACACCAGACCAGTCGGTGCTTTCACCGTTACACTTAAGTAGTGATAGGCAGGAAACGTAACCGTGGCGGCTTTGCGATCGTCTTTTTATGCCACCTTTAGTTCTTTTCTCTCCTGACATTCATGTGGACGATCCTGTCCTCCTCGCTGTTGTTTTGGCTTATGTTGTAAACACCTGTTTAAGCTGCAGAAGGGAAGGAGCTTTGGGTTGCTTTTTGACAGTTTGATTAAGGAAAAAGCGATCTGGTTTTAGCTTCACTGTGCGGAACAAGATAAATGGCTCGGTGGTGCCACTGTTTTCGGAGCTAGGTGTACACGAGACACACGTTTGAGCCACAGATACAGTGTCAGACTTGGTTTAAAATGAGAAAACGGAGAGGAACACATAGTTAGGCCTATATTTTTATTACAGTTATCAGAAAATTTGTATACAATCCACAAACCGGTTCTACTTCATCTAACTTCACCGTCCTACCTCATTGTTACTCTGGTGTTTGTTTGTCAGTGACTGTAAACTATGTGTGTATATTAAAAAAGAAAATCTATAGGAAAAGGTATACCTGGTTACTCTCAACATGTACAGCATATTAAAAACTTGTAAAACACCTCAGTACACAAATATCATTCTTAGGAGGAAATCAGTTTTATTACCTGCTTAAAGATGCTGCTGTAAAGGGGTGTCTGTGTGAGGGGTCGTCTCCGAATATATATCTTCGCTCTTTGCTATGTTGTGCAGTTGATCAGTGGTTGTGTTCTGTCTCTGTATTGCATTCTGAGATTTTTACTGGTTGACGGTGCTACCAGCAAACAGTTCGAAAACTGATCTATCGGACCTCAAATGGTGCTGTTTTTCTATGTTTTTATCGTCATACGGCTATGTTTTATTCAGGTGTGTCAACCGCCACTATCCCCTCAGCTTACTCGAATTCTAAAGCCAAAATATTTCACAAAAATCGATAACCCTGCTTTTACTGTATCAACTATATGCTATCCATCCAAATATTGTAGATAGTGATTATATCCTCAGCTGTGAGTTTCAGAAGTACCTCAGAAGTTGCCGATTTCAAATGGATGCATCTGCTTTTAGCACCTGTTGTCTATCAATTTACATTGTTGCAGTGTATTTTCGGAAATATGCATTTTTACTGATTAGATCAGGTTACACTATAGATAATAGATGATTATTAGCTCACACTCAGATGTCGACGATGTGAAAGTTAGAGGAAGCCACTGTTCACTGGTCGCATGCCACGCAGGAAATCTCAGTCAGACTGGGACGATGGAGTAGAAGAGGTCCTCAGCAAAAAACAAAACCACACGTTAAGTTTGAGTCCATGTTAACCTCAGATTGTGTTCTAGAAGAGGGATGAAATGACAAAATACCCACGTAGAGGAATGTGTCAACTTCTAAAATTTGGACCATGCCAAAAATGCGATCAGGGTATATTCACGAAGACTGTTTTTTGTCGACGTTCCTGTCCTCTCGAATAATTATCTGTGATTCCCCTGTTGCATCGCTTTTTCCCTCACCCTCACTTAAATGTAATTTAAATGTTAAAATTATGCATTTAGTGTAAGAAAGTATTAACGATTGACTTACTGTGAGTAATTATACAAAGTGCATTATATTTTCTTTTACCCTGTACCAATGGAATCTTTTCTGCACCAAAGTGTTTTTCTGTTGTTTTGTTTTTGTTTCTTTTATTGAGAGAAAAGGGTTGTGTCCCTTTTCAGTATGTTTCTATGTTCTTACTGATGGTTATTGTTTTCATTTCCAACCGTGCTGGTGAACATGAAATGTGCTGGTACCTCTCTACTGTGGGAAGAGCGTGTGTTCAGATACACAGCAGTCGTTTTCACGGAAGCACTTAAGCCATTCGTTGGACTGTTTTAATAATAGTTCAATTGTAAGCTTTGCTCTGGTCCAGGGTATTGACCCAGGGAGTTTGTGTGTAATTGAATTCCTATGCAGGTGTTGAGTTACTTACCTGGTACCACATCACTGTCGGGTAGAGGGCCAACTGCGGAGATGGAAAACTGGGCCTCGAGATTGAGTTAAAGGGGACAACGGCGACATGACAAATCCATACAGACCTATTAATGACATTTTCATACTTGTATTAAGTGAGCTATACAGGGCTGCTTGGATATCTACCTGTCTGTATTAGGTATAAACGCATTGCAGTGATCATTAGGGAAAGACAGGGTTATTACTGTATGGAGTATTTCCAGTTGGTATGATAATGTGAAAAGAATTTCAAGACTTTTGGAGTTGACACTCCCTCATTATTATAGCCTCCCAGAGGCAACCCTACATTTTCAGAAAATGTTATAAGTATATGCGATAGAGAGTGTACATGTCTTTGCTAAACCGGCCACACCTCTGCTATGCGAGCAAGTCTTTGACGCTTAGCATCCTGTTCTGTGTTTTCTCTTGCTGCATTCAGGAACACCTGTTTAATGTATAGATAAACAGAAATAAAATTGAGACTTTTATTCTATCAGCACAAACCTTGTGTCTGTGGTTTTTTGGGGGTTTTTTTTTTGTTTGTTTGTTTGTTTGGTTGGCTGGGTTTTTGTTTGTTTTGGGTTTTTTTGCTCATCTTCCTTTGGGGGAAACTGTTAGATAAGACTGAAGAAATGCATCCCAATCCTTGTTACAGCCCTTTCTTCATTTTATATTTATTAATTTTTTTATTTTTTGATGTGAAGAGTTTGTTTTTATGCATGCTAGCAGCATCACTAAACCAGTTTGGTCCATGCACCCACATAAAATCTGGAAAACTGGAAAGCTCCTTGAGAGGCAGGCCACCTAGACCAAACAAGTTCAAGTATCTTGGGGTGTTATACACAAGCGATGGAAAGGTGGAGCGTGAGCTGGTGAATCATCGGCAGCAATGTGGGCATTATACTGGACTGTTGAGATGGTGATGAGCCAAAAAACCAAAGTTTTCAATTTACCCACTGATTTGGTAAATGGCCTGTATTTGTATAGCGCTTATTTATGTTGCATCCCTCACCTATGGTCATGAAATCTGGGTGGTGACTGAAGGAGTCGGCCGAAATGAGTTTCCTCTGAAGGGTGGTTGGGCTCAAACCTCCGGAGGAATCTTGGAGTAGAGCTGCTGCTCCTGCTCATCAAAAGTAGCTAGTTGAGGTGGTTCAGGCATCTGGTTAAGATCCTTCCTGGGGCGACTACCCTTGTAAGTGTTTTGGGTGAGCCAAGAAACTGCTGGAGAGATTATATTTCCAGTCTGGCCTGGAAATGCCTCAGAATCCCTCAGCAGGATCTGGAAAGTTTGGTTGGGGAGAAGAATGTGGTGAATACCCTGTGATCCCACTTCGTAGAAGAGAAATGGGGAGATAGATAGATGTACTACAGGGTTGGTCCACCGTTGAACCTCAGAACTGCCTTACTTTTCGTGGCATGGATTCAGTTAGATGCTGGAGGGATTCCTCAGAAGCTTTGGTCCATATTGACATGATCGCAGCCTGTCTACAGATTGGTTGGCGGCACATCCCTAATACGAGTCTCCCGCTCCACTACATGCCAAAGGTGCTCTATTCGATTGAGATCTGGTGACTGAGGAGGCCATATGAGTACAAGTGTCATATTCACAAAACCAGTTTGAGATGAGCTGAGTTTGTGACATGGTGCTTTATCCTGCTGGAAGCAGATGGGTTCTTCATTTTAGGTTTTTGGGGGGATTTTTTGCATGCAGCTTTCAGAACCTACAGCAAAGAAACTGCAGTGAAATCCCCCTCCTTCTTCTTCTTCTTTCAACTGACCCTTTTAGGGGTCGCTACAATGGATCATCTGCCTCCATCTCTTCCTAGCATACTCCTCTGTCACATCAACCATCTGCATGTCCAATTTAACTACATCCATAAACCTCTGAAATCTTGATGTAGCCACTTTGATGTCACCCATCAATTTTGAGCTTCACAGTTGGAGTTTCAGTGTTGGTATTATGTTTCCAGATAAAAGAAACTCCAATAGAGAAACATGTCAGTCGTAAAGTCACCCCAGTCAAAATTATTGACTGAGCCCAAACCTTTTGGGGTTTTAATGGTGGGAAGTTGGGAATTTTAACATGGAAGTCTGTAGGAATTAACTTTCATTTGCAGCCATCCTCTAGCGACACCTGCAGTTGATGTCACTTCCACATTGGATTCATTTTTCACCTCTGGAAGTTGCCTCTTGGTTACCGTGTTGTTCACTGGCACATTTTCAGAGGTTGGAGGTAAACTAAACTGAATCAAGGTTAAAAATTTCCCATATCTTGAGGTGTAAACTTAGTTTGAGTCTTAAAGGTGTTATTTTTACGCCGCAGCAGCACATAATTGATGTCAAAAGAGTTTCTCCATTTTCAAATTGGGGGCTGTGTGTGCGGAGTGATTCTCATAAAACCTGAATGACCCTTTGCTAATGCAAATTCTTCAGCACACAGAAACCTAACCAACTTTTAATTTAAATGGAAAAAGAGACATTTTTAAATTTAAGTTGGTCATACAATACCAGAGATTTACGTTTGCAACATGTCACCCACGAGTTTAACACAACTAAGACTGAGAGATTTCCAGACAGAGGCGGAGGATGAAAGTGTGATGTGTAGCTTCACAGAGGTGTGTTACCGTTTAAGTTCTTTGTGCCTTTTCACATCTTACCTTACATTAGTTTTCCATCGTCACAGGCTGTGTAATGGACTTCCGTCACCACACAGATCAATCCACTCGCCTGTACGTTTTGCACTTTTATTCTAAGTTTAGTGCATGTGGGATTAACGCACAATGTTTTCAATATCATAAACGACATAACAGGGTGATTCAAGCTGCACTGTGCCACATGACATGCCGATGATTGGCAGCTCTGTCTCTAACACTTGTACAAACCCTATTGCATTAACAGCTGAGATGTATAGACCGAGATAACACAGAAATGGGGTGTTGACACATCAGACTGATTGTAAGATAGCTCTTTTTTTTTGCAAATGAATCTAAAACGAACATTGTCTCTGAATGTCCTCCTTTTTGTATAGTCCACAATAGAAACTGATGGGAAGAGTGCCTCCTTTCTTTATATACAGACTGCACCTCCTTCATTTCTCCCTGTCCCTCTCTCTTGTCTTGCACACTGAAGCATTTCCATACATTATTGCCTCTGTAAGCAAGTGTGTCACGCGCCCAGGCTTTTCCTACAGCCCGAGAGGACTTCTCAATGTCATTATCGCTAAAGCCTGCCACATGTCTATAATGTATTGCTGCCTTTCTTTATTGGCAGCGTGATGATTCAGTAGTGGTGATGATGGATTAGTGCTGGCTGGGTCGAGCTGGGCTGGGCTGAGTCCGTCCAGACTGGGCTGGGCTCTGCAGCCTGGCTCTCTGTCGCATAAACACCATGTACTCCTCACACACTGCAGTATAGAGGGAGACATATTGTATTTATGTCACACACACAGTCTAATGAATATGGTCATTTCGGTGCTTTTATGGAGCTTCTTGGAACATTGTCTGATTCATCGTGTTCACCTTTTGAATTTAATGCAGACATGGTGCACGCAGCAGCTCTGCATAATAGGTGGCAGTAATGCATTCTCTTTATGACATTGTTAGTGTTTTGAATGGGGAAATATAACCGCATTTGCCTCGTGGAAGGGGAAGTTCAGAGTGGGTGCGCCGTGTGCATATGTTACCTCAGAGTAACAAGGTTTGTTTCCACGATCATAAACACGTACACACTGGGTTTAGAGGAAGGACGAATAGTGGCATGTTTTATTGCTGAATATGAAACACAGTCCACAAAGCACATCCACCCAGACTGAACTAGATTTAACGGCACACTGGCCACCAACTAAAAGTCTAAACCCAACGCTCAGGACTTGATTATAGGATTTTGAGTCTCTCCACGCCAGCTTCTTGTTGTTCGCTGTCATGGCGGTTTGGCTTCAGCCACAGCGCGAGAAAATAAATGGACATTAGTCTTAATTTCTTATCGCTTGCAGCAGTATCTGACCATCACCGCTGCTGCTGTAAATCTTTCCCGCGCCGGCAGACAGAAGAAATACATCCCGATCCTTGTTGCAGCTCGTCACAATTACGATGGAAATTTGAGCACACATGCAGCAGTTAACATTTTCAGTATTGTTGATCAGGCCCTATATTAATTTTGTCCATCACCGACTGATGCGATATATTGACTTTAATTCCCTTTGCACTAAACCGAGTTATTTCGCTTATCCTGCAATATTTTCTCCCCAAAGGCAGGGAAGGTTTTTCTCATTATGGGAAACAATTAACTAAGTAACAAAAGAGTTGAGCTTATGCTTTTCTAATCGATTCTCGTTCGTGCTGTTGTTGTGACTGTGGGTGAAGGAGTTATTTGTGTTTTTCATTTAGAGCAGTTTGGTAGTTTTATCTGTGTACCACCTATTTACACCATGCAGAGTATTTATATATATATATAGTCAAGTAAAATATGCAAGAGCCTTCATTGCCATCTCTGCTGCTTTGTTCATTTCAGAAGTTATTGCAGGTGTGACATCAACTTGGTACTTTAGCAATTCTGCCTTTGGTCTTTGCACACATTGATGAAGCACCACCCATACCTTCACCCATCTGGGTGTTCATACATTGTCAGTTAGCTGTACGATAAGATACGCTGGTAGGTCTTGACTGTTAAATTCCTTGCTGCCAGCGATGTTCGGAGGTCCTTATCGTTTTTAAGGAGCTTATTTTGCTGCTTCAATGATAAAAACTGGAAAAGTTTCGAGTCCATCAGCCCCTCCAGTAAGTGGATGCAAAACTCTGCTCTTCTACCCTACACACATTCGTGCACATGCATACATACCTGTGAATGCACACACACACTGGCGCATGCATACTTAAATACGGAGCATCCAAATGGCCTCTATTAATGCAGATGGCTCTCCCAATTAACAAGATTCAAAGCGATGATGAATTTTTCACTCTCTGAACAGTTAAGCTAATTATGGCCCAAATGAAGCAGGTTCCAGTGAATCGCCATGGCAGAGGCTGCCAATGGCAGACAATGTCACTGTCACAGTGCCACTCTGCAGCACCACCCTAATCACTACGGCTGCTTAATATTCATCTCCCACTGCTCTCTCGTCGCCTCCATCCTTCCTGTCTCACCTCTCGTCTCGTGTATCCTCTCTTCATTTCTCCTCCCTCCTCTCATCTCTCCTCCCGCTTTCCTCCACTGCCCTCCTTACACGAGTCCCTACCATAACCCCTCCGCACCCACCCACCGACCCACCCACCACTTTGTGCCTCTCTCACCATAGATGTGTTGTTCATAATGGAAATCAACTAAGTGCGCTAATAGCATTTTAATGATAATTTAATGTAGTAAATAAAACTTGTTACAAGCTAAGCAATTTTGCTGGATTTCAAGGGCAATCAATCTGTGTCCAATACAATCTGCTCACCTCCTTGATGATGGGTGTTGGATGTCAAGAGCATGTTTTCTCTCATGCAAGCTACAGATCAAACTACACTTGTCTCGGCAGCTACAGATGCGCTAAATTCAGCGGAAAAGCACAAAAAGGGAGCCATGTGTGTTAAAACGATCGGTAAAGTTAGTATAACAGCGTGTTCGTATTATTTCATACTTCAAAGGCTTAGGGTTGTGTTAATGTTTTAAAAGTTGTGCTTAAATCAGTGCAGATATTACACATATCCTTTAAACTAGTGGCTCTAAAAACGATCTGATAACTGCTACGAGATAACTTCCACATACAGTATGGACCCCAGAGGTCTTTCCCCCCCTCTGTTGCACTTTGTGTATCATTTGACATTATCCCTTTTCATCATAAGGTCTTTTTTTGAAGCAAACTAAATGCCCGGTGGTTATTCGTGCCATTTTCTTATTTGTTGTTGATTCAGATTATAATAATCAATTCTCCTCAAGAAATTAACATACCTGAGTCATTTCAAGTCTGCTTAGCTTTGTGAGTCATTGTTTTCCATTAAAAGAGATTAGATTTGCCTTGTAATCAAAGATGAATGCTTCGTTTTGCATTTGGATTCTTCTGCATATTATTTTATCAAGCATACCCCCTAGACCAAACAAATTAAAAATGATGAGGAGCTTGAGCTAGAAAGAGAAAAGAATAAAGTGAGAAAGAAAAACAATTTATTTTCTCTTTTAATGTTCTACCAGTGGTCATTTAGCTAGCCTCTTTATTTAAATGGTAATGTGAAGCCGACTAAACAGGCACGACGAATCAGCCCGAGAAGAGAAGGAGACTTCAAAAAAAGAAAAAGAAAAGAAAGCTGTGGTCTTTTCAGGCTCCAGGAGTTTATCTGGGTCTTTCCTCCTGTCGTCTGACTGAATGAGGAGCCGATTGAGCGACAAGTATAACTCTTCTCAGTGCTGGACTATAATTAATTAGGTGGGATAAATTATAGCATCTCTAGCGAACCCCGGCACACATGCACACGGAAGCACACTCGCAGCAAATGCACTCTGTGCACTCCGTCGTGCAAACACGCATACATGCTTAACCAAACGCGTTAGTATCGATGAACATTGGAAGTGAAAAAAATGAAAGTGAAAATAAACACATGTGACAGTTATGATTAATTTCTATTCTCATCACGCCTACGGTTGTGTAGCATACTCCCTTTATGCTACTTTAAAAAATAATTATATATGGATGAATATGTAATTTAGTCATAGAATGAAGCTATTATTCATAGCAAAGTGTGGAGGATGAGTTCAGCAGTCTCACAGCCTGAGGAAAGAAACTGTTTGGAAGTCTGGTGGTAGTGCTTGCCAGATGGTAGCAGGTTAAACAGGCTGTGGTTGAGGTGGGTATTCTGTTTTGGTGTATTTCAGGCTGTGCCTCACCTTATCTAATCTGTCAAAAGAAAGCACGTTCTATCACTTTAATAAAGATGAAATACACATGCTGCGAGTGCTCAGTGTACAAAAGCCCCATTTAAGCAATATTATCGACCAATTTCTGAAACAATAACTTGATGTAATAAAAAGATAATCCCTCAACTTTCATACTAAATGTGGATTGTTATGTCTAATTATTATTAAATGTGTTATTTTCATTAGAAGCAACAGTATTGTTGGTCTCTTGTTTCCAGACAATGAATCTAAGTGTGCCCTCTTTACCACCTGCACACCCTAAAAGCCCTTCGATGGCAAACAAGCTTTTATGTCTGTTATGGCAAAAGTAGAAGAAGTTCAGGCTCTGCTTTAGCAGCCTCACCACATAACTCCTCCAGATGGATTGAACAACCGTTGCTGCTGCTGTAAAATGTCTCCACTCGTCCATCAGTCTCTAACATCTCACATCGGTGCTTTGCGCAGCGCTGCTGTCTGATGGGATATGTGGCTGAAGAACAAACTGACACTTGTCTTCTCTGCTCACCGTCAACCCGGACCCCAAATTCGTGGCTATGAATTACAAACACACACCACGCAGACACGCGCAAACGCCCTGCCAGCAGGTGCTTTTAATGGCCTAGTGTTAATGAGAGTCTTGTTTAGAGCTGTCAGATGACCCTAGGCCACGCAGGCTGACACTGACTCCATGTTCACAGCTCTGGAGGTCACCGCACGGTTTACGCAAGAGTGTGCACGGATCAGCGCGCGTGTGTTAGTGCTACACAGGAAATCATTTATCAAACCTAATTGCTTTTCGAATCAGTATAATAAAGTTATATTAAAATACCTTCGTTCTTTAAGTTTAATATTGAGTCATTACTGTTGATGTAATCATTTAAATCTTATCTATGGAGTCCGTTCTCATTGTTTGATTGAAGCTAACAAGAACAATCAAGACACAGGCTCAAAAAATAAAGAATAAATGATAAGAGTAAGAATAATATTTGGCAGCGTAAGTTTATAAAATGATTTGATCAAATAAAATTATACACTTTATATAATCAGTTCATTGTCTCAGACTTTAACAGTAATTTCATCCAGTATATTTATAACAGCCACAAAACAAAGTTGTAATGGTGCCTTTATGAATTCTCAAACAATGTTTTTCTGAAAAATACAAGAAAAAATTCTCATTGGTAAGTATTCAGATCCTTTGCTTAAGCGGTGTCATAGAAATAATCTGTCTGTGAAGGTTCTCAGTTATCCAGGTCATCGTAGTCTAAGGAGCTTGCAAAGAAAAGCGTCTGGACTTCTTTAAGTTACTTGAAGACGTTTCACCTCTCATCCGAGAAGCTTCTTCAGTTCTAAGGTCAAATGGAGAGTCCCAGATATGATAAAAGAGCATCACCAGTAAAACTGACTAATTATGAGTACAAAGGTAATAACTATCAAAAGTAAAGGCTCTCGTTATACAGCAAATGGCTGCTTTTCTACTATTACTATTATTATTGAGGCATGAATGCTTAAGTAGGTTTTTTATGTTAAGGCTGGTGGACGCTACACAAAGCTCCTTATGTAACTTATTTATGTTATACAATAAATGAACTTATAGCAACATGTTGCATTTTATGAGTTCATTGCAGTCTTTTGTCTCACTTCATCTTTAAGTTACAAGTAACTACATCTGTTTAATGAATCTAGTGGCGCACGTGAAGTCAAAATGCACAAAAAGTGGAATCTGCTCAGAAATTCCTAAATAAAGATCGATGATAAAAATTTAATATATATTCAATTGATTGTAAAATAGGTTTGTAAAAGTATTTTTTGTACTGTCTCTGCTGTCTTTTTTAGCATTAATTCAACTTCATTAATGTATTTTTAAAAAAATCAATGGAAAACAATCATGAAGAAGTAAAATGTGACGGGATGAAGGTAAATACTACCCTCTGTTTTTGTGACTGTATGTATATGTATGTATCTGCACTAAAGATAATATCAGTGTGGCTGAAGCACATAAATGCATGAAGATTTTAAAACGCTCTTTTTTGCAGTTGCAGTGCTTTTTAAAGTTTCACCCTGATATAATCAATTTTCTCCTTTTTTTTCTTTCTCTGTGATATTTTCCTTCTGTATCTCCAGCCTGTGTTTTCCAACCTTTAGCACACTTGCTGTTATTCTTCCTTTATGTGTTGACAGTGAAAGTGTAATCTAGCTCTCTGTGTGGAGACCAATTCACAGAGTGGGAAGCGCCTGTGTGGAAGCCAAGCTGTGTGTGTGTGTCTGTGTGTGCATATATGTGTGTGTGTTTAAGTAAAGGAGACTCAAGCTGACAGTTTGCCAGCAGCCTTGCACCTGCACACAGCTAGGTGTTGATCTCAGATGGGGGGGTGAAGCGGGAAAGTAGGAGGGGAAGACAGGCGAAGGGAAAAGGAGAGGCGGGGATCCAGCGCGAGGTGTTGGGGATGGATTAGAAAAGACTAGTGAAGAACACAGGATAGGAACTGTGAGAGGTGGCGTAGCTGTGACATGTAATTCCTGTTTTTATGTCTCTTCTCTGTACACGAGCGTGCACATGCCACAAGTGGAGGGAAAATGTGTGGCTGTGACAGGCGGGGCAGGAAAGCCAATTGGATTGATGCATTCTTTCATAGGAAACTGCCAAGTACCGAGTGCAGTCAGGGCCTCATTTGTCAGACTCAAGGAAATAGCATTACGGCGTGATGTTTCACTCTGTCTTTGGCACACACATCAACAAACCTCTGTTTCAGGATTGAAGAACTGTGCAGCTGATGTTACCGAAACCCGCCGCAAAATTTAATTGCGGGTTAAAGTGGCAGCGATGGGATGTAAGCGTCTATATGTCATGTCACTCACTGCTGCGTGGTACTCAAGTGGCGCACTTGGAAGATCTTCGGCTTCTGTGATAGGTTTCTCTGTTTTACATTCACTGACTTGTTAACCTTTCAGCAGCGGCGGTGAGTTTGCCGCTGCCCACAGAGCAGATAAACTTAGACAAGCTCTCTGGAAGATGCTCGGGAGGAAGACAGGGCGGCTCAGTGACGCTGTCAGCGTGACGCACTGTTGGATAACCTAAACAGGAAGTCTGTGTCACTGATAAATCAACCCACTAGATCTTTTTTTTCTCACAGGGGATTACAAAATCAAAATCAAAAATTAAAAGTGCAAAGTGGAAAAAAATTTAAGTTTTTCAGGTACAGAGTGATTTAATCCGGCGTCCTCTTCTGTTCCTACTGTAGTCGAGATCCTGCTGGTGACAGGAAGTGTGAC